ATGTATGTAGGAAAATTGGAAGTTGTGGAAAAATGGGTTTGCATATATACAAATCAATGATCTATAAATTAGTGAACCGAGAGGGACTGGCATTGACAACTTTGAATCAGACAATCAAGTGAACTACTGTGCTGGGAATGAAAAATTGAGGCAGGATGCTATTGTACTTATAGTCTAAAAGAACATTTCAAATTTATCCTAAAGTGCAATGTTATAAATGATAGGATGCTATCCATACACATATAAAAAAGACCTATTAATACAACTGTTATTCAATATATGCAACAACAGTTAAATCCAAAGGAAAGGAAATTGTAGCATTCTACCAACTTTTACAGTCTGAAATTGACCAAAAATGTACCGGGATGCATTACTAACAATTGGTGATTGGAATGCAAAAGTTGGAAACAAAACAGAAGGATTGGTAGTTGAAAATTATGGACTTGGGGACAGAAATGAGACTGGAGATTGAATGACTGAATTTTATACAGTCTTTGATTTATTCATTGCAAATATCTTTTTTTTAAGAAACCCAGACAGTGATTATATACATGAACTTCACCTGATGAAATGCATAGGAATCAGAATGACTACATCTGTGGAAAGAATTGTTGAAAAAGCTCAATATCAGCAGTCAAAACCGGGCTAGATGATGACTGTGGAATAGACCATCAATTCCTCATGTGGAAGTTCAAAGTGGAGAAAAAGAAAAGAATTCCAAAGAACTAAAGCAGGACCCTGGGTCTATCCCACCAAAATGTAGCTGATTCATAACAGTGAGTTTTGTAACAGGTTCAAAGAGTAACTATGGGTTACAGTCTTGGGAGCTCCAGCAATCAGTTTCTTTTGGGCCAGTAAGCCTAGCCATTTTTATATTTTTTAGTTTTATTCTACGTGCTTTGCTCTCTATTTTTTTAAGTTGATATTTTTATTTGTTTTTTGACAGATTTGAAAAGTTTCATAAATATTAAAATGGCCACACTTGCTTATTTAGGAGTCTCTTGACAATTTTATATTTATCTTTATTGCAATAATGGTACCAGAAACCTAACCCCACCTGTATAGATCTCTGTTCTTAAGTGTGAGCTGGTGATTTTATGATAATACATAGATCAAAAGATTGACTAAAAAGAGTTTTCTCCACACCCTAATGATTCCAGGACTTTATACTTGTGATTCCTTTTAGTGTGATCATCTGCAAAATGCTTCTGATAAAGCTTAGGTAATACTAATGATTTAAGTGTCAAGTTAAGCAAAGGATCTGGCATAAAATTAATGTATGCAAACTAGGTTCCAAGAGTGTAGCTGAGGCCAGAGTATAGCTACCAGCCTGTCTCTGTCACCAGTACTGGTCCACAGTCTCCCACTGCAGGTGAATGCTTTATTGTCATGGCAAGCTGTCACAAAACTCATATGCTGGTCAGCTGCTCCATCATAAAGGTATTTACCTCTCTTTGATATTCAGCAACTTTTCTGTCTCCCTTCCTCACTCTGTCATCTGGTGGCTATCTTACAGAGAAGGGACACAGTGGTAAATGAGTTCCTAGGTGACTGATCAGTTGCAGTTAGTAGAATATACCAGATTTGGGGGCAGAACAATGTTGAAGTGGATGGTTGCAAGAATTTCTTTTTATTCCATCTCTGTAGCATTTGTGTATTTGGAAGATTAAGAATATAGATCAAAAGGTGAGTCTTGCATTTAAACATCTACAAAAATAATGAAAGGAATAAAGGAGAAACTGTCTATCTCATGGTTCTACAGTGGAAATTAGAGATTCATATTACCAAGGGCAGTATTAAAATCCCTTGCATAGACCCACTCTCACATAATTCTTGATGAAGAGGTATTGATAGACTTTTTGGATAGAGGATACTGCCATTCAGAGAGGTTAAGTACCTTGCTTGAGATCAAGTGTGATTCTTAATTGCTGCCCAGGACTGTGAGGCACTGACTAAGAGGTTTAAAGGTCTGACTATAGCCCTGCCAATAATTTAGAAAGCTCTTGAAGAAAAGATGAAACACCAGATGTGCTTTTCTTCCCATCCTTAGGCAAAATGTCAACAGACTTCCAGGGTAATCTACAATTGTGGCATGGAGCTGAGATAAATCAGTGACAGCTGATTGGGGCTGTTTCCTAGATGCCTTTCAGAAATTCTATGATATCGGGATAGATTTCTCTTCAGACTTCCCTTGTCTCCCTAACACTAACTCCTCTCATAGGCAATAATGTCATTGTTGTTGTTGTTGTTGTTCAGTCGCTTGTGACTCATAGTGACCCTATGTACAACAGCCCTGAACTCTGCTCTGTCCTGTGGCAATCACACGGTCTCTGATACACCCATCCCGAATACCCCAGTCACTGAATCAATCCACCTCATAGAGGGTCTTCCCCTCCTGTGCTGTCCCTCCACCCTACCAAGCATGATGTCCCTCT